CTGTTAATTTGTTCTCTGGTGTATTCATGTTAGGAAGGCTTCCTTCACAATTGTGAGAAATTTCATTGAAATTAGTTTATTTTCTGGATGACAATTCAGCAATAACCTGTGGCTACAAAATAATGGAATAAAATGGGTCCTTGATATGGTGTGCTTTTTAGGGATGTTAAATTTCGATTAATCAGCTAATCGAGTAGTCGATGGAATTTCCATTGACTACTCGATTAGTCAAGAAGGGGGTACTTGCTCTCTCGCTGTGCCTCTGCCTTTGAAATGTACAAATGCCACCTGTAGCTCTTGTACATTTCAAAGGAAAAGGCACAGCGGGGAAACTCTCTCTCTGCTGGGGGGGAACTGGCCTTTTAGCTGGCTCTCCCCAGCACTGTCTCCTGCTCCCGACCCTTGGTGCATTTGATAGAGGCATCAAAGGACGGGGGAAGGAGGGGAGTGAATAGTCGAGTAGTGACTCGACTACCTGATAAACCTAGGCTTATTGGGTAGTCGATTAGTTGCTTACATCCCCAGTGCTTTTACATACTAGGAGAGTCTGAATACAGGAGATAATACATACTCTGTGCTTTAGCTCCAGGCCTAAATAAGTGATAAAGAACTTTCTGTAATTTGAAAAATAATATTGTATAGAGTACAGTAACTCTATACAATTTTAACTGATGAAAATGTATTTGGGACAGTTATTTTTTGATGTTGCAATGGCTTATTTGTTGACATTAAGTTTAAGTGGCTGAAAGTACTCTTTGCTGCAAAAATTAAGGAGCATAATGCTTTATGTAATTGTGCAAGTGGTGTAACTATAGTGACCTGAAATGGTTCATTGATCAGATTAAACTTCTCTCTTGGATGCAATGAACCCTGCCATTTGCTGTTGCTTCATTTACTGTAGCACATCTTTCCTTCTATCATGTTAATTATTTAATTTTAGAAGTGATTAGAGACTTTCAGTTGCATGCTTCTGCTTCCTAAGGGCATGCAGCCATCTCATATCCTGTAATAAACTGCTTTGTTTGATATTGTGATTCAATGTCAAATAAACTTTTAATTAAACCTAAACAGATGGGCATAGTTTTCTCTTAATGGAGGCACACTGGAAAAGTTAACCAATAAGCTGAAATCAGATACTAAATAGACTAGCTATTTAATTGATTAAAGGTGCATATGTTAGCAAGGACTAACTTTGAAGAAGTTGATGTGTTGAATGCATCTAAAACATAAGCTGAGCACACCTTTGTACATACAGTACTTAATATATCCAGTGCATGGCACTATGGAGCATAGATGATTGCACGCATAAATGAAAGGTTGTGGGGGTTTAGCGCCTGGTCAAAATTTGTATCTTAGACATCCATATATGAACAGCCATACTAGGTCAGACTTTGGTCTTCTGACAGTGGCCAGTATTAGGTGCTCCTAGAGAGAATGAGGAGAACAAGTAATCATCAAATGATCCCTGGTCTGTCACCCATTCCCAGTTTCTGACGAACAGAGGCTAGGGACACCATTCCCACCCACCTTGGCTAATAAGTATTGATGAACCTGTCCTCCATGAATTTATCTGGCTCTTTTTTGAACCCTGTTAAAGTCCTGGCCTTCACTACATTCTCTGGCAAGGAGATCCGCAGGTTGACTGCGTTCATTGGCATTCTCTTGTATGCCTATACTAAGTTAAATATGAAATTTGACTGACCTAATTCAAAAAGTTTCCCCCGACCCACTTTACTGCAGAATGTGAAATTAAAAAGTTTAATCGTCTTCATGCAGTTTTTAGTTGAGATTAAATATCACCAATTGTGTCAAAATACATACGCTAACATCCCTAGTCAGTTGGCTGCGTGCCAGGGTAGCCCCTTTGGAGCAGCTTGAGATGACCGATGTAGCTCTGTTATCATGCAGCTTTCTTTGGTAACCTGGTGTCAGCTTCCCACTCACAAGCCTGTGATGGCTTGCTACAGATGCCTTCCAGTAGAGCTAATGTTCTATTGACTTGGAGAGTGGAGACGATTCTTAAGCCATTGAAATGTTGCTTCCTTGTCTGCAAGAATAGCTCATGTTAATGACCCACAGAAAAATCAGTCTGGGCCATGCACAAATGAGAAGCAGAAAAAAAATCCTCACTGACTTGGCCTCCAACTGAGGAGAGAGACTTCCCACATTCCCCTTGCACTCAAGTGCCTCAGGGGGCCCAAGCTAGTAGATTTTTGTATGCTCCAAACCCGGTGTGGGGGATGAAGGAGTACCAGCACAGACTTCTCAATTCTGAGGGAAGCCCCGAGTCTTGGGAGCCGGATCCAAGCAAGCCAGGGGCCACATCTGATCTCGCGGGCCTTAGGTTCCCCACCCTTGCTATAGGATCATCCTTCAGCTTGTCCTTGGTTGAGTTGAGCACTCTGCCAGCGGTTGCCTGTTTCCACTCTGAGCAGCATATAACCCTCAGATGAATAGAGGAAGAACCCAGAAGGATACTGCTAATGTTGTCTGGGGTATGATGGAATGAGATACCAAGCTAGGGGGTGGGTCACCTCTGAGGACCTATGATCTGTTGATAGGCTTTTACCTGCTTTTCGTTTCTGGTGTGAGGTATGTCTACACTTAATTCCTCCTTCGAGGGAGGAATGCAAATGTAGACCTCCAAAATTGTAAATTAAGTGGGGATTTAAATATCCCGTGTTCATTTGCATAATCGCCGACTTCTGCTTTTCTGCAATGGTGCTATTTCGGTACATCAAACTCAGTTCCTGCAGGGTTATTTTGAGGAAATAACCCTTCCCCCGAAATAATCCTTCCTTCTCAAAAAATGAGGTTTAAGGGTTATTTCGAGGGAAGGGTTTTCTCTCAAAATAACCCTGCAGGGACCAAGTTTGATGTCCCGAAATAGCGCTACTGCAGAAAAGCTGCAGCCTGCGATTATGCAAATGAAGCACGGGATATTTAAATCCCTGTTTCATTTGCAATTTTGGATGTCTGCGTTTGCATTCCTCCCTCGAAGGAGGAATCAAGTGTAGACATACCCTAAGGCTATTTGAAGAGTTAAATTTGCTATTTATACAAGTTATGGCATAAATGGCAGCTGTGTGCAAGGGGAGGACATAGGTTACTGAACATTGAGCAAGGGCATGTTAATTAGCATGCAAATATAAATTAAATTCTCCTTGAATCTTGAAAAACTGTTATTTTGGCTAACAGTAATCTTACATCTCAGCTTGGTCAGGTAGGTGCTATGTTTCCAGTTTCATTAACATGAAATTATCTGCATAAAGGGGCTTCACTTAATTGCATGCTCACTGGTGTGGAACACAGGCAACCACATCTAACAGGAGTACTGCTGCTTTGGGACTCATCTCTGTATTAAAACTCACTGAACACTAGTGGCCTGTTTCAAGATCTTCCCGATACGTTGTATTTCAGATAACACTTTTAGTTGTCAGTCCTGATCTTTATGCCAGATAACCCTGAAAAGGGAATAGCGAGACTGGTATGAACTCCCAGACCACAGCACTTGTAGCTCAAACACCTCGTGGCAAAAAAGGAGAGACTAACTAGTAGCACAGCATAGGAGCTTGTGGAGAGGTCCCAGGGAAATAATAGCTTGTGTTAGGGGCATAAATCATTTGAGTTCACCATTTCATATTGAGCTAGGGGGACACTCGTCTCTTCCGTATTTTCTGTCAGGCAGGGGTACTGGTGACTTGAGGGCAGAGGTTGAGAAAATTTGCAAGTGAGAGAGGGCCCTGATGTGAAGAACTTCTGAGTAGGGATGTGAGTGTGTACCAGAGTACACAGTTAACTGATGAGCTTTGGTACATGGTTAACCGCTGAGCCTGGGCTCGTCAGTTAACTCTCAAGGTTACACACCCCTTCCTTATACCCCCACCCCCAGTGTTGCTGCCCTTGTATCAAAGGCAACAGTGGGGAGGCGGGGGGGGGGGGGAGGGGGGGGGGGGGGGGGGAAGAAGCACAGCACAGGCTTTTAAGCCAACTCCCCCCAGAGCCACCTGCACTCCATCCCTTGTTGCCTCCCACAGTGGCAGCAGGGGAGGGAAGCAAGCAGGAGCCACAGAGGCAGCAGCACTGGGCAGTAAGCGTCTCCCTTCTGCTGACTGGATTATAGCCAGTTAGTGAGGTGTGCATCCAGAACAGAACAAACATACTTTGGCAAGAATTACTGGCCTCTGGGAAGAAGGAGGTACAGGAGCAGGGAAAAAAGGTATAGGTGCACTAATGTGTTACCTGAAGCTTTGGAACAAAATGAAATGGTTATGCTGGTTCTCTTTGTGGAGCTCCACTGAAGTTTTCCTTCCCTTAACACAAAACCTGCAAGCAAGATCAGTTATGCCCCCGGTTTTGATGGAGAACGGATTGGAAGCATTCCCTCCGAAACTGTTGGGTCCTAACTGGGAGAAAGCTGAGCATCAGGAGCTGAAGCTCTTGGTTTGGCTGAATCTCCAAATATTTCTGGTGCATTACATAATAAAACTGGGGATGACAACATGACTGCCTGCTGACGTGAATGAAGTCACTGAACATCCCTGGCACAGTGTAGAAATACTTTGGCAGCATCTACCTTTGAATGGACTCCACTGCTTATAAAAACATCCGGAGAAAGGAAACTCCTCTTCCAGTAGAAAATAATCTTTTCCACTGGTGTGCATGCCCAAATTTAAAAAAATAAAAATAAAAAAGCTGTTCTCTGCGGAAACAGAATGAGGAGAATGTGTTTGTTCAACAAACATACCCATGAGAGTAGGTTTTTCCCAAAAAAAGTGCTCTTTCCATCCTCTGGGACTGGGCAAAAGTACTGAACAAGGAATCCAAAGCAGCAGGAGTAACCATTGCAATGCTTTTGATTTATGTTTTTGTAGGACTGTGTTGACCAGAAGTTGCCCCTTTATAAATAAGTAGTTAAAAGGTTGAAATTGCTAAATCTGAGATCCTTTAAAATGCATAGGGTTTGATTTGAAATGGGCTTTCCTTTCTTATTATATTAAGGTTGATTTTGAGAGGTGAGCAGGAGGCACCAGACTCGATGAGTTTCCATCGAAATGTCGGAAAAGCCAAGCCAGACCGCAAAAGCAAAGGATGGGAAAACAAAGTATGCAACGCTCAGTCTATTTAACACTTACAAGGGAAAATCACTGGAAACACAGAAAACTACAGGTGAGTACATTGACCTGACTTAGGTTCTGTAGTTCTGTTAATACAGTTGTATTTGAGATTGGTCGTGTGAAGTATGCGATCTAAATGCAACAAGATATCGTGCTGTATGTTCGAGAGAGCTGCTAGATGGAAAGCATGGTGGCAAAGGTTTTAGGTGTAAGATAACTTCTGGTTACTTATAGGTATGTAAAGTCCCATTTTAGTTGCACTTAACTGAATAACCAATTCAATAGGGGCAGGCTGGCTGAAGCGACCCTTGCCCATGGTGGGTGTGCCCCATGGGGCTGAAGCAGCACCTCTGCCCACAGAGGCTGGGGGGGGACTCCAGCTCCTGCAGTTAACTGTAACCAGTAGGCATCACCTAGCAAGTGTAATGCTAGCCCGTTAACCATTCACATCCCAAGTTACTTGTAATATAGCTCTGCAGTTTTGGGGTCGGATCACTCCTTCCATTCCCATAGTAAGCGGAGTTGTACCTTATGGTATAAAAATAGTCCGTAAAAAATATGGCTGCATTATACAGTTATCTGCTTGCTGTCTTCATAGCACTGTAGTAAGAGAGGCAGCTCGGGGGGGAATGCATGATAATAGTTCATTTACCTTTGTGACTGTGTTGTGATTCTTCTGCTTCAGGATATTGTTTATCTCCCCTTAGGACAGCAACCAAACTTTTTTGTTGAATTGGATTCAGTTGATCTAGTCCATAAAGCAGAGATCTTTGATCTCGTGTTTTGCTGGATTTTTATTAATAGGTTCTTAACCAGTCTGTCTTGCTATTTAACTAGTGAGACAAGGAATGAGTACCTGCCCTTTCAGATGCTCTAGCAGAGCCTGTGTACAGAGCCTGTGGCACCTCTGCCTGCAAAATGCCTGATTAAGCCAATGTAGTTACTCTTTCATTAGCGTCACATTGTTTCCCTCGGGCTCTCAAATTCCCTGACAGCATTAAATCATACATCTGAATTAAACAAGGCAAATGTTAGAAGGAATGTTGCTTGTTAGTGATTTTTACAAGTAGTACTCTATTTTGGAAGATTCGTTTTAAGTGTGTTTGAAGGGACATAATTAACTTTGAAAATATTACCTAATAAGGTTGCAATTAATCTGTTCCAAATAGCCCATGAGATTACTATAATTTGGAAGATGTTAGAGGTGTTTTTTTTATTTTTTCGGTCTTTGTATACGGTAATATATGGTCACTTTCATTGTCTTAGTTAGAATTTCTCAAAGTAGTGTTGCTTTCATGCCATGCTGTGGTGGGAAATCCAGCTGCATGTTTTTCTAAGGCCCTACAAAAGGGTTTGGTTTTAGTATTGAAAAAATTACTGTAAATTTGGGGCTCATCCATTTTCAGTTCAATCCTGAGAACTGTTTTCAAAACTTTCTGCTCAAGGAATTTATAACTCCGGCTTGACCATGAGATGTAGATTTCAAGGGACTTACTGTTTAATCTTTAATGCCCCCCCCCTCCCCTTTTAAGGGAAAAAAACATTTTTTTCTATTAAATCTGTAGCTTTCCATGAACATTGTCCATTTTAAGGGAAGAGTGAAAATGAACATTTTTTTTCTTTTTGGCATACAGTTACTGCACGCCATGGATTACAGAGTCTTGGGAAAGTTGCCATTTCACGAAGGATGCCTCCCCCCGCTAACCTCCCTAGTCTCAAAGCAGAGAACAAAGGCAATGATCCTAATGTAAACATTGTGCCTAAAGATGGCACAGGATGGGCTTCTAAACAAGAACAGCACGAGGAGGAAAAGTAAGTTACAATAGAGAAGCCGACTGACTTTGTTCAATGTGACTTGTGAACGTCCCATCATACTGCAGGCACCTTACTAAAGGCCCAGGGGAAATTGGATGTGTGACAATATGCCTAACACATTAGGATATTGTCATAGAGGAAATGCCATGTTAATTATTGGCAGAGACACTTTCATCACCTGAGACTAATTGAAATGATTTCATTATTCTTAGACTGGAGACAGTATGCCCACATTTATTCCAAATGAAGGGCTATAACTTGCCCTTCAGTGCTGTTGACAAATTTAATTTTTACGCTGTGTGTTTATCTTTATCACGAAATACTACTGGATGAGAGGCAGTAAATGTTAATTAGGCTTCAAATAATTTAGGGGTTCAAGGATTAAAACAAACACATTTTCAGTCATCTTTAAAAAAAAAAAAAAAAGAAATTGAGCAAAAATTAGCTTTATTCTATCTAGTTTAATTACTACCTTCCTATGCACCGAAATTAAGTACAGTATTGAAGACTTCTTTTGGGAGCATCTTCTTACATAACATCAAATCTCCACATAATTTACTGACCACAGAGCTTAAAGGGATGGGAGGGAATGGTTAATAAAGTATTTGTTTTTACCTTTGAGTGGTATCATGGAGTATTTTTATGCATGGCTAAACAGTAGCAGATATTGGGTAGACATAATTCAATTTTATGTATTACTATTTCTTCAGGCAAGAAGGCTTGTAGAGTGAATTATTGTTCATCTCCCGAATGCTGCTTCCGTATCAGGGTTTGAAGACATAAAATGACAATAAGTAAACTTGTGCACAGTTGTGTTTGTAATTAGGACATCAGTCCTTAGTTCTTCCAATGCCATAGTTATCACAGGCCCAAACGAGTAGAATAAATTAATACTTCTCAGGACAGAATAAATTTTTTGAGAACAAATTTCTCCTGTATCCATGAATGAGTGTATTTCTTTTAATTTCAGACCGCCAGAAGTGCCGCAAGTGCAGCCAAAACCTGTAGCTCCCGCTCCTCCAGAAGTAGCTCCTGTTGCCAAATCATGGGCCAGTACCAAGCCAGGTGGGCAAGGCGATGGTAAGTGAAGTTGAAAGTGGAGGAAACCCAGGCTGGCCCAGTGGTCTAGTAGTTTTGCTTGTTCCCTGGGTCAGCAGGGGCTGGGAGCGTTGTGGAGACAACTTCCTTGCCTCTAAAGTGATGGGATGCCTTGTCACTCAAGTGAATCCCTGCAGCCAGCTGAGCAGCTGCATAGGGAATTGTACAGTTCTTCTTTGCTGGGGTTCTTGGATCGGGAAGGAAAATAAATAAATCCTCAGCCTATGGCAGAGGTGTGTGTGACTTCTGACTGAATAAAAGACTGTCTGTTGCAGTGTTGTGGTGATCTGTCTTTGTCCAAACCATCCTTATAGTGTGAACTTACTGTGAAAGCTGAATGAAAATTATTTCTGAGCCTCTGCCATTGTAGGCACAGACCTCTGTTTTGTATATGTTGGCATATTCTTATTCCTAAGGTCTTTGTATACTGAATTATGGAGCAAATATTAGGATCAAGTTGGCAATTCTAGATAGTCTTGGCATCCCACTGCCCTTCCTAAAGTTTAATACTATCGCCATCCAGAACTAACTCTGATAGCTTGTTTTGCATGTGTCCTATGAGTGGGATAGGATGATCTGTAGCCGCAGTATTAGTCTCATCCTTCTGTTGTAAAACCTTCTCTTACATGCACAGGAAGTAGACTGCTTGGTGACTTCAAGGTGCAGGCAGATGACGTCTGTTGCAATTTAGTTAGTGATTTTATAGCTGCCTTGAGAACTAAACCAGATGGTTGATTCATCTCGTGTAACTATTTGTCACAATCTGGTGCTTGGGCAGGAAGTTGAATTTTGGGGGAATAGGGAAATTTTACTTTTATCTTGGACTGATTCCAGTATTGTTCAGTTGGGATTGCAGATGTACCTGTCCGACAAGATACGAACTTATATTTCTGGCCTGCTCTTGGTTGATGAAATGCGTGAAGTTCTTAGATGTGTGTTGAAGAGAAACATTTTTTTGTCTGTTGATAGTGTTCCTTAAATTCCTTCGCCGCCGCTTCATTCTTCTCTCATGCTATGGCTTGCATGTAATGTGACTAATTAAGAAGGAAAGATTCTTAATGCTCAGAAGCTTTGTGCAGTGCCTGACCAGTTGCAGCATATGTTTAGATCTTGTTACAGACTAACTCGACTACCCCCTGAAGCTTTACATCTTGTGTAAGGGATAAAGAAATAGGTAGTTGTCTCAACGCCATCTTTAAAGTCTCTAACAGCTGAACTGTTCGCTAGCTGACTGGTTATTTCAGGTTGAGTGCTTGTGTTAGATTGTCAAGTTTATCACTAAGGCAACTCTTACTTTTCAAACAATCATTTGATCCAAGCTTTATGGTCACGTGTCAGGCAGAATTTTGCAGATGCTTGAACATCCCCCCCACAATCCTGCTTTAATGTAGGACATCCTGGAAAAGGATGCTTTTGAGCTGTATGAAGTGATTTCTGCCTGCCACTTTCTGTTGACAGTAGGACACGTCATCTCAGTCATAGCAAGGCTTCCAGAGATCCCAGTCTGCTTTCCCCCACTTCCTAATAAAGCTTAAAAAAATTGGTAAAGTGAGGATTAGTTATACCAGGGCTTTCCAGAACCCCCAGATGGTTCGTCATGGGGAAAATGTTTGGTATTTGCCCTCTTGCCTTCTTTGCATAAAGTAGGTATGAAAGGTTCTTTTCAGAACTTTGGTTCGTGCTTGATTCTTTCAACATCAGGACCAGATAATGATTGCAAGCTGAAGGGTGGGGGCTTTGGAACCATTCAAAGATCTATCCTTTTAAGCAGTTGTAGAATAGTCTGAGTTGGCAGCTTCAACAAAAAGAAAAAGTTTATGTAGTTTGACTAAGTCACTTTCTCAGTCAGCCTTCACTTTCTTGGCATTTGGACTATTAGTCTGCTACAGCTGTAGTTTTCCATAGAATCTTACAAATAACAAAGATTACCTTAATTTCCTATTTTAAATTAGTTTTTACCTAAAATTATCTATGGCTTCTTTACATATCCTAATTTTTTGGTACAGTTCATCCAATCTGAAGCTTAAATGTTATTCTGACCACTTTTGTTGTTAACTCTATCATGGGTTGTTTCTTGCACGTGCTACTCTGTTACTTGAAACTAAGCCAAGAGTAGTGTTTGTATACTCCAGAAATAGCTATTTCAAGAAGCTGGCATTCATGGCGTTGAGACATTGCTTTTCCGAGTTGTCCTTGTGTGACATCACATCAGTTAACATTTTAGGTAGCTCTAGCTATCCATGATTGCTTTTCTGGTAATATTGTGTCCTCTTATCTTGATCCTTCTAACACGTGCAGCAAAAAAGTAAATTAGCTCAATGAATTTAATGAATATGGAATTTCACAAAGGATTATTTTAAACTTGGATTAAATACCCAGCTCTTTTATTTGAAAAATAGTATAGCTTTTTAAAGTAAAATGTTATGGTTTGGCCAAGGTAAAGGGTCCTGTTTTCCAAAATGTAATAATTATTGAAATGTGTAGCACTGTTTTGTTCTAATTGTCTAGGTCCAAGTGTCCCCGTAAATAGTTATTTCCAGCAAGAGTTTCCCAGTCTGCAGGCAGCCGGGGATCAGGAAAAGTCAGGCAAAGATAAAGACACACCTGAAGAGCCGTATGGACCTGGACCCAGTTTACGGCCACAAAGTAGGTATATCTTAAAAGCCTTGTGAAGATGGATGCCAAATTGTCATTTATAATATAGAGTTTTACTAGGGATTTCTGATGTGCACTATGAAGTAGATGGAATATTGTCATTTAGGAGTTCACTCAACAGAAAATTAATAAAAGTGACGAGGAGTCCTGTGTCACCTTATAGATTAACCGAAGTGTTAGTCTATAAGGTGCCACAGGACTCCTCGCTGCGTTTGCATATTCAGACTAACATGGCTACCCCTCTGATACTTGACACAATAAAAGTGAATTGGCCTGAATTTTGCCATATACACTTGCAGAATTTTGCATTATATACATTTGTTAAAACATTTTCTTACAAATCTCCTTTTCATGTCTGCCTCTGTGTATATAGTCATCTTTTTTACTTATTCCTTTTACTTTTCTTTGATCTATAGCCTTGTGGTAATTATATTTCCATGTCAGTGTTTACCTTTTACTAAGGTTTCTCTGGAGAATTTTTCATACTTCCTTGTCTGTTCCAGCACAATGTCTACATATACAAAAAAAAATCAATATTTTCCTTCTTCCTAGGCTATGATTCACTTCACAGGTTCCCAAACTGTAGTCAGTTATGCACTTACGGTCCAAAGAGTATTTGCTAGTCATGTTCAAATGATGCTGGCACCGCCTTGTTTCTAATTGCTAAATGTCATGACAAATAAAAATACTTCACTAATATTATTCCCCATGTGAGCTGTTCATGGAGTTGGCCAAAGGATGGCTGGTTACATAATCACAAATGTGTGGAAGAATAGTCTTCAGAAATGTGAATGGGAGAAGCATTCATCTGTAAGAGAGTCTCTGTTAAGATGTGATCCTTGCTTTCAAATTTTGAGTCTGTCTAAAACTTTAACAGGCTGGATCTTTCTTAGCTGCAGAGAGCTAGATGTGGCTAGAACAAATCAGGGTCATACTGCACCTACAAGAGGTTTGCTTCCACGCGTTACTTCTGAGATGAGTGAGCTGCTTCCCTTGTGCTTCTAGCTCCTTGTTGCCTCTGGTGTCTGCAAGTAAACAGGACCCACGCTTTTGATTGTAGCAATATTGTTCCTTACAGAAAAACAGTTACTTTTTTTTCTTCACCTAAAATTCATCATCCTTTTCCCAATCAAATGTGGGAAGCACTTTCTGCATGTAGCTGCTGTTTGTGCAGATGATGACAGTGCCGCCTTTTCTGTCGCTAAGGGTATGTCCTCCTGTCAGTGGTGCGCATCCTCACTAGTATGGCAGCATGAGGAGCTGAGAGCCAGGGCCAGCAGTTTCACAAAGTCTTTCCCCCAGCACGGAGATCCATATTTGCAAGGCTTGACAAATAGCAGCGAAATCTGCTCACTTGCACTGCGCATGCGCCAGATCCGCATTGCGCATGTGCGCGCCGCTGGTGAACGGAGTGACTCGCCATGGGCAAGTAGATTCACTGATTTGTTGAGCCCTGCATATTTGGAGTCTGTATCTTAGCCGAGAGCCTCAGTGCAGCTGGATTGCCATGGGAAGCAGGAAGCCTTGATGCAGCTGGACTCCCTAGTGGGGAGTCAGGAACCCCAGGAGCAGTAAGGCTCCTAGTGGGAGGTGCAAGTTCACAGTCCAAACCAGGAGCTGGAGTGGCGGCAGGCCAATTAGGAGCAAAGACCCAGCAGCAGTCTGGCTAGAGAGCTAGGAGCCACGCTTTGTCCATTTCATAGCTTCATCTTAGTCATGGAATATACAGGACAGCCAGCAGCTAGTGTAAGGAACACAGGGTCTTAACTACACCAACGTACGCCCAGCACCTTTCATGGAAGTGGAGTTTTGTCGATGTAGTAGCACACTTAGGCCAGGTCTACACTGCGGAGGGTCTATGGGGGAAACTCTGTCAACTCTCCACGCTTTGTCCATTTCATAGCTTCATCTTAGTCATGGAATATACAGGACAGCCAGCAGCTAGTGTAAGGAACACAGGGTCTTAACTACACCAACGTACGCCCAGCACCTTTCATGGAAGTGGAGTTTTGTCGATGTAGTAGCACACTTAGGCCAGGTCTACACTGCGGAGGGTCTATGGGGGAAACTCTGTCAACTCTCCTTAGCGGGTCTTTAATAGACCGGCTAAATTGACCCCCATGGGGTCAAGGCCGTATGTAGTGGGATGAGGCTGTAGTGTTTACACCAGGGGTGGCCAACCCATTCCGGACGAAGAGCCAAGATCCAGTGCGAAGAGCTAGGGCAAAAAGTTGGGGGGGGACCGGCCCTTTAAGAAGCCTTTTTGGCCTCAGCAGGCTCCCATCAGCAGCCATCATATTACATCCACCATTTTGATCTGGATGGCTCCCAGGCCCCGGTGAGCACAGGGGAGCCAGGAGGTGCGGGCTGTGTTCAGGAGGTGCAGGGGCAGCTTCGTGAGCTGCACTGACGGAGAGGGGAAGAGCTGCATGTGACTTGCAAGCCGCGGGTTGGTCACGCCTTGTTTTACACTGACATAATTAGGTCTACATAAGGAAGCTCAAGATGATAGTCATTCCAGAAAAAGGTATTTTGGCTTCCAAAGATTCTCCAGCTTCCCTTAGCATTCACTTCCCTTCCCCCTCCCTCCCGCCTTTCTTCTATACACCAGTCACTGGTACCTCTGGCCAAAGCAATATATTTGGTCCATCTAATCTGGTTTGTTGGTGAAGAATAGAACAGCAAGGAATGGGAGAAAATAGGAGAATTTGTCCTACCTATGTGTAAAGTTCCAGTCTCAATTAGTTCTGCATGATCGTCATGGATTTTTTTATTAGATCTTCATGTTTCTTTGAGGACAGCCCTCATAGCTAGAGCTTCTTGTCCACTCATTTTTCACAGATAGTGGCATCTGTCTGGGTGTTCTGTCTTCAGGGACCTCTTAGACCTCAAGTGCACTTAACCAATATACTGAGATCTTGGGAAAAATTATTTGATATCTGTACCAGCACAGACGCCTCTCCTAAGTCATCCCATAAGCTGTGGAGCATAGAGCAGGCTAACCAGTTGAAATTTCATTTTTGGAAATTCTCAGAGGAGAGCAACCTAGAGATGGGCTGAGGAGGAATGGGAACCAACAAACTCTTTATCTTCCGTGGCTACCACCTACTTGAATGACAGTCTACAAGACAGGTTCATGTGCACTGGTGTTGCTACATCACAGAGAGCAATTGGATAAGAAGCCCTGTTCATACTTTATTACAAATCAGAGGCTTATTTGAAGTTTTGCTTGTCTTTCTCGCCTACTGGTTCCTTCCAAGCAGATGTTGCTAGTTGGCGAGAAGGTGGAGGTAAGAATCTGAACACCCCAAATTCTCCAACTGATCAAGAAGTTAAGCCTGTTGCCCAGGAAGATGGTAATACAGCGGGACCAGTAGAACAAAATGATGTCCCCAAGGCAGCAGAGAAGAAGGAAATACGGGTACCACAGCCACCTCAGCCCAAGCTGAATGGTCAGCAACAACCTGCTGTCTCCTCCCAGTACAAAGCAATGATGCCACCCTATGTAAGTAAATAGTGTATCTTATATAATTATCAGTGTGAATGGCTGAATCGGTAGGATAGCAGCATTAGAGAGTTAACTTGAAACATCTTAATCCTCCGGAGCACACAGCTTGGTTTCAGTTCTTCTTTGTACCGAGGAGTTGGGAACTGTGAGGTATTTTATAGGTGTTATTCCTAAGGGAAAGGTTGTAGTCTGCCTTTTCCAAGTGCAAGTTCTATTGCCATATTTAAGCCAGCCCCAGCCTTCTGGCAGGATTGTACTTGGCTTGTAATTTAGTCCTTACAGCCTGATCTTCCTCTCTGAGTCCATCTTGCTGGTGGAAAGAGAATCTGGTGTGCAGCCTCGGCTGGTGTACTTTAATGCATGGTAGGGAGCCCTGTCACAACTTCATCTATCTTCAGTTTCAACTTGTCATGCAGGACAAGTACCCACTTATACATGAGGGCTTGCAATTTGTGAGCTCAACCCGCTATTTAAGAACAGTCCAGTTATAAAACAGAATCTTTCTTTTCATTTCATAATGACTTCTATAGTAGTGACATTGGCAGCTCTAATGAAACTATATTTTAAATTGATTCTTCCTGTATCTAAAAGTCAGTTTGATAATTTTTGGCTTCCTTTTCTAGCTGTGTAATCAGTATCCTAGAATGGCATATCCTGCAATGCAGGGTCCCAGCAGGTTCCCTGGTTCATCGGAGTCCGGCAGGTAATTTTTATAAATACTAGAACTGCACACGTAAAACCGTTGTATGCCACACATTTGAATACTGTGTCCACTCCTGGTCATCCTGTCGCAGAAAGGAGAGAGTGGAGCTGAGAGAGGTTCAGAGAAGAGCGTTGTAGATCAGGGTTGTTCAGGTTAGAAAAGAGACAATTGGGGGCAGAGGTCTGTGAAATCATCAATGGTGTCGGAATAGGGAATAGAGAAGTATAATTTACCCTTTTCCATAATACATCTATTAACCAAGATGGCCAGGGATGAAGCCCTAAACCTCTGATTGCCAAAAGTGTATAACCCCCTGAATCTCGGATACTGGCCACTTCTGGACACCTTATACGGGGCAAGAGGGACCATTGATCTGACCCAGTAGGGCAGGCCTTCGTTTTGTGAGATAAAACTAGGACTATATATGTAATTTGTAACCTATAAAAACTCTCCATGCAACCTCCATTCTCCCTTTCCAAGAGATTATAAAGTCACTGAATGACCATTACAATTTAGAAATTTTTTCAGTAGGGGGTTATGCCCCCTGCTGCTACACTCAGCAACCCCCTTCTCTCTGGGGGTAGGCAACTCTAGGTCTCTCCCCAGCCATTGGGGTGGGCCAGGCCGAGGCCGCGCCAGCCCCGGTTTTTTCCCAACCCCCAGCCCAGGCCTGCTTTGTTGGCCCATGGACAGCCCCTGGCCTGTTGCCGGGGCAGGGAGACCCCAGCCACAACTAATGCTGCTTCCAGAGTGGGGCCCAGAGCATCTGAGCCCCAGGAGGGGGCTGGGATCATGGCCTGGAACTGGGGGCAGAGCAACATGAGTGACGTGCTGATATCACTGTCGTCCCACAGTAAAAATATTTTTAAAGCGTGAGAGGTAAGACACCAAAACAGTGTGTCTGGCTGGTGTAATGGTGCTTTGAGTGAGATGCACACACAAGAAGGCAGACTACGACCCTTTCACTCCATTTTCCCCATTATAAAACTAGTTGATTCAAA